TCGGGAGCGGGAAAGAGACCAGACCGAGCCTTTCCCGGGAGGTCCGAAGAGTGGGATGAGCGAGGGGAGAGGAGGCTGGTGAGAAAGCGAGGCACACGGCACGCGGAGGACCGCGTGGCGGACACTGGGCGAAAGCAAGAAGAAACTGCCCCCCACCTGCTAGATGTGGGCATTACTGGCACTCCATCTTTTGTACGCCTTTTGTTTTCTAAAACGACGACCATTGGAAAGGCTTTTTAATGGTCATCTCAGGTTCCCTTCCAAACTCTGAAGGCTCGGGGACGTTCTGCCACCCTAATGTGGTCCGGAGAGCAACTGATTAATTTTCATTTCTTCAGGCTTTCCGTGATTACTTCAAATATTGAAGTTTTCTCATTAAGTTTTTGAGATTTTAATGGAAATAAAACACCTAAAAAAAATCTTATCCAGACAGAGGCGTTTATAGAGCTGTGGATGGTATTTTATGGGGAATTAATTTTCAGTCAGCTATGCAAATACTCTGCCCATTTCTCCAGAGATTCCATGGAACAGTATACATGTGTGGGAGTAGGACCCAAAAGATAGGGAAGGTAAGCAAATCATCAGTCGTCCTAAACAAAGCTTCACAAAAATAATATGAATTAACTAGAGGAAATAGTGATTCAGAAAAATAGCAAACTTTCCACTTGACTAATGGTGAAGATTCCAACAAAGTATTTCTGTCCCCATCTTTATGTCTCAAAGAGATTCATTTCAAAGTTTAAGAAGCTATCCACCATGGGCTGGAAGGTCAACTCATCATCTGGTGTCTAGAGTAACTCCTCATTCCTGGAAATAGTCCAACCTAGTTGTAACTAGGCCCCGTTTAATGCTACCTTACTCTAACTGAGTGGTATAGGTCACCATATGTTGCAGAGACAAAAGATGTACATGCTTCTGGCAACATGACAATTAATGAGACAGATTATACTTGAGAATCTTCAAATTGTGTCCTCAAGAGTGGCCTAGGTCAGAGGGAGCACCAGACTATGTTTCTAGTAGAACAGCTTTGCTTTTGTGTTTTATACATCTAAGTGGACTTCATTAAGAAAGAAGAAACTGTAAGATACTTGGAGGCAGATACTATTTTTTTAGTCATCTTTGGTTAGGTATCTTTGCTAGGTTTTCCCAATTTTGGCAAATTTCTAGCAAAACAGCTTGTACAGGTAGGTACAGAATAAACTGATTACTAAGTGTAATGGAGCAAGCAAAGAATCAAACGACTTGTCCTAGCTGAACAGAATTTATAATCTAGTTTTGCTTCTCTAGTTTTGCCTGCATTTTTATGAAGCCATTCACTGGGATACTTCAGTTAGCTTTATTTTAATGTTCTCAGAATCAAGGAGAAATTACAATAAAAGTCACTGAATTTTGGGGTCTGAAATCTAAGGCAAAGGAACTAAAGTACACCCATTGCATTTCTGTGCCATATCTTATTAAAATGTCTTTTGTCATAGGTATCACACTGAGTTTAATTTATTTTAAAATGTATTTATTTAATTCACCCCCATGTAGACCCTGAACTTTCTAGCACTATCTAATTTTTGTAGTTCATTCAAGCACTGCTTTGCACTCAAAAGTGAGTAGTGACCCGACTGTCCTCCTCTTCCTGTGAAGTAGGGTAAGAGTTGCTGTGATGTGTTAGTAATCCACTGGCAGGTGTAACAGGCAGCAACAATTCTTAGTTCTCTACTCTTGTACACATACATCTGTTGTCTTCCTACTATGACTCTGACCTTGGCATTTAATTTCTTTTGCTAATAGGATTTTATCAAACTACCATACACAGAAATTTTAAAAAGTGCAATCTTGCTGGAATGACTTATTCTGCACTCTGCCTTTGCCCTGATAGCATCCCTGTGTTGTCCTGTTAGAGGGTGAGAGACAGGGAGCAGAGGTGAGTAACAGAGAAAACCTGGTGCTCCTTAGTCACGTAACCAGGCAAGAAATTCAATCTGTGCAGACCTTAGTCTGTGTGCAGGAATTCACATTCCAGTCCTGCTTACTAACCACTGTAAACCCCCAAAGTCACGCTCTTTTCCCTGCTCTCTCACATCATTGTCAGCCCAGCCTGGAAGCTAGTGATGCTCAGCAGGAAGCCTCATTACCTAAGTCATAAACCTTTCCAAACCCTTTGCTATATGTATGGCACCATCACAACCGAACAGGGGTGCTCATCTTGCTTCTGCATCTATAGTTCCTCAAAAATGGGAGAAATTACTTCGATTACACACTGCAGTTTGGCACAAGTAGACATTTTGTATATTTTTGTAACTAAACTCATATAAAAGTTGTTTCTTGTGTCATTTTCCTCTTGAATTATTCAGGAGAAAAGAAATGGAAGATAATTGCCTATTTTAAATATGGTTTAAAGAGGATATGGTTTACACTCTAATATGTGCTGATATTTATACCAAACATCTGGAAAATTTAAACTTTGGGTTACTGCTTAGCTTAGTGTTAATAACAAAGGAAGGTGACTGGTTAAATGATAGGAAAATAGCTTCTCTAGAAGCTAGTTAGCATAAATAAGGGCCCAGTAAATGAAGCAGGGGGCTTTTGATTAGGGCTTTTGATTTGCAATTAAAACACTTTTTAAAAAGATATTTGCCTAAGCAATTAGGCACTGAAAATTAATGAAGCAAGAAAATAAGTGTATAAATTCACTCATTTTTGACCTAAGAGAGACTATAAAAATTAAGCTACTCAAATACACTTTTAAAAATAGTGTGTAAAAATTCCCTAGACAGCAAGCCAGAAATACAACTGTGAGGGCATTTTTACAATTAATAACTCTGTCTACACAACTTGAAGCCTAGGCTTTAGTTAGTGATTGCTCTCCTTCACTAAGAAATAAACTAATCAATCCATCTAGATTTTGGTTCCTGCAGTGTCTAGTGATCACAATGATTATTATATCAGAAAAACCTCAAAGTTAGTGCCAGATGTCTAAATGTATTTGTAGAATGCAAGGAAATTATAGGACATAATGTAAACTTGCAAAATAAGCTAAAAATTACACCATTTACATGTAAGGGATTTAGAATTTTAGTTAATTTGGTTTGAGTTGGGTTGAAGTTCATTTATGGGGAAAAAGTTAAAAGTAAATGAATAGCATTTCTCGAATTTTTGGGAGCATGTTTAATCTAAGTAAGAAAGCTGACACATGAAAGATTTTAATAGTTTTTACTGTCAACTTGGACATTGGTACTGTCGATTAAAAATGATCCTTAGAGAGTTCAGAAAGGAACTGCATTTTCAAACACTAAATTCTAAAATTACATGAGTTTTGCTATCTAATCATTGATAAAAGTGTTATGTTAGAAAGAGTATTTGCCTATTACGCATGAAATCTTAAGTGGAGTAACTTCTCCCTAATCAGCTAGCCAGTAAATAACTATTATGTGTCTATTCATTAATTGATTAATTTACTCAGATCTAGAGTTGAGAGGCACAGGGCATTAAGGTACATTTTGCTGTCTGGTTCCACAAACTAAAATATACTGTTCTTCTACTTCCTCACTCTAGGTATAGTACTTTCTAGTGGTATTAAAATGGACCAGTCTCATAAGAGTCTCAGGAGAAATGGGAATTGGCCACCCCCGACTTGAAGAAAAAAAGTCTAATGAAAATGTAGCTCCTTTTATGGATCTGGGGGAAGGGGAATTGCAAACATTTTATTATTAGATTTCATTGGTATATGCTGTGTGTTTCATCACACATGTCAGTTAAAAATGGAATTCTGACATATAAGTCTCAGGAAGTTCCTTATGGAGTTCTGATAGGTCCCTTCCCCAAAGTAATTCTCAATATGGATGTAATTGCTAGTGATGTTGGGCCCTCCCTGGTGGCACAATAGGTCAAAGAGTAGCACTAAGAAGCTAGATACAGCTGCTTCGGCACAAGTTCTATCCCTCGCCAGGAAGGTGGCCCACAGGGTGTAGCAGACCTCTTCTGACCTGCCTGCTGCTCCCCTCAGCAGTGTACTTTGTCAATCTGTGTGTTCTGCTCCCCACTCTATCTGGTGAAGCCTCTCGCTGCTCCTGGACCTCTGGCCTGTACCCAGTTCTGTATGCATAAATAAATAAATCTTTAAAAAAAATGTAAAGATTCATCAGCTGGAAAGGAAAATAGGACAAATCCAATAAGGTGAAAGTTTTAGCAAAACAAGTGGAGGTGAGCAAACATTGCAGAGGAATTGGAGGACAAGAGGAGAGAAGGGAAAATGAGGGCGGGCTGGAGAAGGAGTGGCAAGAGAAGGCAGCAAGGACTCTTGGAGGATTAGCCTGTGTCCAGAGCTGTTGAAAGCCCAGTCCTCTGAAGGGCGTGTGAGAGTCCCATGCCCATTCAATTCATCCTTCCATACAACCCTCCTCTCCCACCTTCCCTAATGTAAGAACTCATTTCCCGAGGTTTCCCAGTGGAGCCAGTGTTCCGCTGCAGCTGCAGCCCCTTGAAGTTGCCCCCCTGGCTTCAGGGCTGGGTGTGAGTGCTCTCAGGACTACTGTTCTGTTTAGCTTGGCCATCACAGGGACCTTTCCACACGGTCTGCATCTCATGGCTGATTTTAGATGATTACGCCTCTAAAATCAGAGGCCTACAGAC